AGCTATGCCGCGGAGGCACTCGCAGCTGCACATAACCTCGATGAGTGTTACCCTACGCTCATCACTCTCCACGAGCTCAAGGCAGGGGCTCTGACTCCACGACAACTACGAGATATGCGTGGAGTTGGGGGCCTGGCCATTAAAGTATCTCTTACCTTAGACGCTGAGTCGGTTTATAAATCGCTACCAAGCAAGGATCTTAAGATACCGACAGAACGGACCTTGCTTGGACATATCAGCTGGATACGCGAGCTCATGGATATAGGTATGGTGCATAATGTGCAGTGGTGTGATACTAGAGATATGACCGCAGATGGGCATACAAAGGGAAGCATCGATCGGGAGCTGCTTTTGGAAGTGATGTCAGGCACTCAGTCATTTAAGTATGACGTGAAGCAGTTTGTCCCCTTTCGGGGTCCCGAGGTAAGAAACAAACCTAAGTCTAATCAATTTTAGTCTGTCCTTGTTGCCCCCGCGATCCAATTTGCCAGCATGGGCGCCTACTACAGAGGCGCCCCTCTAGGTGCTCGGAAACGAGCCTTACATTTCACGCCTGGCAACGAGCCGGCTTGATATGATTCAGGCTCTTTGCCTTAATACCCGCTTGCTCGGTGAGGTATGGCCCGTTTGGCTTACCTCTAGCCGGGCCGATAGCCCTTTACCATTTAAGGGGCTGTCTTGTATTTGCGTGAAATGCCTTGCGAGGAAACTCGCCTTACAGTCTGGTGTTAGGCCAGTCTGTATGCACTGTTTTCTTGCAAACAGTTGCGCGCGCGGCCTTTGTAGAGCCGAACGGCTGCGCGGCTATACTCTCCGTCTCCTCCCCTCCCGACTTTAAAGGTAGCTCTTTGGGAGATGTTAAATAGAATCGGGAGTATAGCTCGCGCGCCGTTGCCTTTGGCTCAAGGCACGCGCGCCCTATCTGCCCGGACACTTACCATAGTGTTCGCTATGTGCTGGAAAGACCGATACATCGATCTTATCCTATCCTACCCGTCCACTCCCCATATCGTATTCTTTCGACATGGAATTGGATGCAATGTGAGCTCATCCGCCTCCCATGGAGACGGATGCTATTTGACCTACCAGGCTCACTTTCGACTGATGATGATGATGATGATGATGTTGGTGCTGCTGATTATGATTATGATGGTAACGCGAACGAAGATGAGGAGGAGGCCAGAGGAGGAACACTCATAAGAAGGAGGAGGCGCGGTGCGTTCTTGACTCGAAGCGAGGGTCTAACACCACAGGACGGTTGGGAACTGCATACAGTGCCTTTTTAAAATACATGCTCTGCGTGCGGATCATGTATTAAAAATGCAGGGAGTTAGTATTAGAAACAACGACGAGTTCATGCATAAATCTATTCACAAATTAGTCATGTATTAAAATCCTATATTATCAAAAATCCCATCTATTAAAACCTGCCCTGCATTCAGGATGACGAAACGGTCCTGGGGGAAGCCGCCGGGGTCCAGAATTCGTTTCCCTCTGGACTGGTTTGCTTCGCGCCGATCTGGGCGCGGCATGGGCCTTCGGCGCTACAGCTAACTTGGCATCGCTCGGACGTGTGCATGTTTCCTTCGGCGAGGACCATCGAGGAGCATCCTTGATCATTTGGCGAAAAAACCACGCACGAAACCGAAAAAGGCACAGGGAATGGACGTCCGAGCGATGGCGAGAATGGGCCCGGGCATTCCAGACGCTCGTGCACCTCAGCCCCCAGAGCGCGCAGAGCCGTGAGGCCAGAAGGCGTCGCGTCATGATGCGCGGAGTATCGTAGAGGCCTCCGGCCTGCGCCAGCGGTCGGGAACGCTCCGGGACGCTCCGTGCACTCTCGTCCTGTTTTTGATAATTTGTGGGTTTTCCTCGAGGAGTCAGGAGGGTCGATGAGGGAGGATGAGGAAGAGGGGGGACATCGGGCCGGACGAAAGGGGGGGATTGGGAAAGGGGGGGGTTACGACATCTGCTGCATGCAGCTGGTTTCGGCCCCACCGAGGGGCGGATTCCTCGATACATAGCCGCCTTTTGGCGCCGGGAGGCGCCGGGAAAGTCAGCTACGCGAGCCGATTCTCAAACCCCGCTTTTGCTATCCCCCCCTTTCGCCCGGCCCGAGAAAAGGAGGAGGAGGTGGACGAGGGTTTGGGCAGTCGCCTCTGGCAGTATGTGTTGAATGGCATGTCTGTTTGCGTCGTGTGCGTCCGTCGAGCTTGTTGGCGGGCCAGCTCTCAGACGGGTTGGCTCGTTGGTGGGTCGTTGGGAGGGTCGAAGCGCGAATCTTGCATGGTATCCTGGTCCTTCCTGTCGTTTCTGTCTTCTCGTATCGAAGACGCCTACGGCGAATCACCGCCGCCCCCTGCCCCTTTCGAAGCGCCTCTGTGGCCGACAGCTGGGCCAGAGCTTGGCCAAGCTATCGGGCCAGTTGTTCCCCGAGTCGGTTTGGAGAGACTTCGGGGAACGCATGGGGGAGCAAAAAGAGGAGGGGGGGAGGACGAGGAAAAAAGAGGAGGAGGAGGAGGAGGAGGAGGCCTCTTGGGGCACTCTTGAGGCCTCCTGGGAGCTTCCTGGGGGCCTCTTGAAGGGTTTTGGGGGGGCCATTGGGGCTTCTTGGGGGCCTCCTTGGCCGTCTTAGGGCGTTCCTGGCTTGTCTGACGCCGTCGGAAGCCGTCTTGGGGGCCTGTCTGGGTCGTCTTGGGGCCCTCTTGGGGCGCGTCGGGGCCGTCTTGGAGGCCATCTTGGGCGTCTTGGAGCCCTCTTGGTCCGTCTTGGGGCCCTCTTGGGGCCGTATTGGGGGCCTCTTGTGCCATCAAGGGGCCCTCTTGGAGGCCTCTTGGGCGATCTTGGGGCGATCTTGGGGGCCTGTTGGGCCGTCTTGATCCGTCGCGGAATGCCGAGAAGAAGCAAATACCAAAGTTTTTCACAAACCGAAAGAAAATCAATGATTTGGGCCTCTTCGGACCCTCCTGGAGGACCTCTTGGAGGCCTCTTGGGTCGTATTGGGCCGTCTTGGAGGCTTCTTGGGCGAACTTGGAGATATGTTGGACTCTCTAGGGCCGTCATGAGGCCATCTTGGACCATCTTGGGCGGACTTGGAGGCAATCTTGGACCATCTTGGAGGTAATCTTGGGCCAACGCGGCCATCTTGGAGGCCATCTTGAGCTGTCTTGGAGGATTTTTTCTGGATTGAGGTCCTTTCCGGGTGGCCGGCGGGACGCGCCGGAGCCCCAGGGGGAGTTCTTTTGGAAGAGAACCAAAACCAAAAACGATTAGATTTGGCACGCCAGGCACCCCTCTTGCAAGCAACAGGGGGCGGCGGATCTGGTGGTTTTCGGCCAATCGCGCCACCGTGCCTGGCTTGTGGGTCCGAGGCTTTTTGAAGGTTCGTTGGGATCTCGTGGGAAACTTCTCGGGGGCTTCTTGGAGGCAGTTGTGAAGCCTCTTGGGGGCCGATTGGGACCCTCTCTTGGGCCTGTTGGGAGCCTCTTGTGGCCTCTTGGGGGCCGGCTGGCAGCCCCTTCTGGCCTCTAGGGTGCCTCTTGGGGCTTCCTGGGGGCCTCTTTGGGCGGAAGGCTCGAATCGTCGGTTCATGTTCCTCTTGGGCCCATCTTAGGGCTCTCATGTGCCGTCTTGGGCGCCTCTTGGGCCGTGTCCAGGCCCTCTTGGGCCGTTTTCGAGCTTTCTTGGGGGTTTCTGGGTTTGTCTTGGGGCAGTGTTTGGGGCCCCTTGGGTCGTCTTGGAGCGTCGGAAGCTCGAAAAGGCGAGAACCTCAAAGCATAGAACATCCATGGCATTTTTTAACTCGCACGCCAGATCGGCGGATTTCTGCGCATGGCGTGTCCAAGAGGCTTGTCACCTCTGTCGTCGGTTCCAGGCCGAGGCTTTCCTTACAGGGGATGGGCGTTACCACAGTGGCGTCGCAAAATGCGGGCGTGCCCGCATAACGCAAGCTCGGGACGATGCTCAGCTTCCTCTAGTCGCCAACTGGGGCGGAAATGCGCGTGTTCTGCAGCATGTGCACGATCGGTCCAGGACCGAACCGCCAGCCTCTGCGAACACTTGTCGTCATGCGGCCAACTCACTACAGTGTTGGGCATTCCGCCGTGCGCGCAGACTGCTGGTGAAGCGGGCATGCCCATGCAAAGCCACGCCACCAAGCAGTGACCAGCCCAACGCCTCAGAGCAGAACCCATCAACGCGCCATCTAATTCCGATGCTTCTGTTATGCAAATCATACGCAGAGCAGTTGGATGGGCACCAGGACACGGTTGCAGCCGCACCTTTCCCTTACTGTTGTTGCGTTCGCACTCGCTCCCGATCGCGGCGGCTGCGGCGCAATTCTTGTGGTATTTGTTTCGTCTACGTTGGCGAAGTGGTGTTGCCAACCGTGTTGCCATTCTCCTAGGGTTCGAAAAAAGAAGACGCTATATACATAAAATTGTTGGCGCTCCGCGCGGATTTCTCGGGTCTGCGCCGGGGCCCCCTGGAGGCGCCTCTGGCGCCGCCCCTGGCGCGTTGCGCGCGCCAGGGAGAGGTTTTGCTCACGTTTGGTAACGTTGTCCCGCTCAGGCGTAGACGGAGTAGCGTTTGTTTGACCCACGCCCCAAGCTCTAGACCATGTGCGGTTCCCATCCATCCGATCCGCAGCACGTGGATTGGAGAACATTGTTTGTTACGCACCCACAGAATGCAGTCGTTGAATGATTTGGTTGCAGACGCGATCTAGGTCGGAGAAGTTGTGCGCAGCAGGTGGTTGAGGTGCGGCAGGGCACGATAGTATTGTAAGACCGGCGCATCACTCAGAGACGGAGGCTGAGGAACAGGTTTGGTTGGCCTTGTGGGGATTCCCCCCCTTTGGAGTACACGCGGGAGCGCTAAGCAAAGCCCGCATTTGCCTCCCCCCCCCTGTCCTTTTCCCGTTCCCCGCCTCCGCTTCTCAGATGTAGGCCTCCCCCGATTCTCCAGTCGGCCAAGCCTGACCTCGCCCAAGCGCCCCGCAGTCCTTCAACTCAGAGAAGGGGTTCGGCTTCATCTCCTGCGAGGCCCTGCAGGACTGCGGAGGGTGCTCCGGCGAGAGGCGTTGAGTGTGCCCTGGCGCCAGAGGCATAAGCACGAGTGAAGCCAACGGAGAGGGACCACAGTGGCAAGTCAACCGATGGCGTCAAGGGAATGAGGTGATTGGAATGCCGGTCGCGGTGGGTTCGAGGTCAATCGCGCATCTTGGTGTCTACAGGCGTGCATAGGAGAAGACGTACCACATGGCAAAGTTGAATGGGTGTGGGAGGCGAGGTTGAGGCGGGCGTGTTGAACAAGAAGTGATCGGTCTGTTCGGAGTTCGTGGCACCATTGTTTTGCACCGAGTGTGGCAGTTACTTCTCTCTCGCGTTCTCTCTTTCTCTCTCTCTCTCTCTCTCTCTCCTCTCTCTCTCTCTCTCGCTCTCCATCGATACATGTATATTTATGGGTTCAGACCTATCTCTTTCGGTCTCACTCTCTCTCTCTCTCTCTCTTTTCTTCATATACATATATATATATATATATCTTTTTATATCTATATATACACCTACCGGTCTCTGCTGATCCCTAGCTCTCTCTCTCTCTCTCTCTCTCTCTCTACCCCCCTCCATCCCCCTATGATTCCCAAGCGTGTACGTATGCATAGATATGTGTGTGCGGATGTACTTCTACAGGTATCGCCGGTTCACGGCCAATGGACGAACAGATACGGCTTGACAGATCGAGATCCCATCTGGGGTTCTGCGTGGCTGTGTGACTGCTAGTCAATCGAATTGCCGCGCGTGCAGCTCGCGCGGGGAAACTTGCGCGGGGGGGGGGGAGGGGGGGGGGGCTGCGGCCCAGAACATGCACACACAAGTACAGTCAACGCGCATAGTAAGGACAAACGACTTTTTCAAAGGTACCCTTGGGTCCTTGCCTGCCTCAGCCTCTGCGGCCCTTCCCTAGCAATTTTCGCAGGCCAGAATACTTCAACTTCGGCCTCCAAGGGTTTTGCGTCCTTACTACGCGTCCTTACTATACGTGTTCACTGTATCACAGTTCGCAGCGCCCGAGCAGCGAATGCGAACTCGACGCCGCACGTTGGATGAGGATCAAGAGGAAGAGGCGGAACAGCTCAGCACCCCAATTGGCAAGGCCAGAGGGGCGGCGAATCGAAGACGCTGGTGCAACGTGTCTTCTCCCCTTGATTTGTGCAGACGCCCCTGCATGCCAGAGGGTCGTTATTGGGTCAGGGTGTTGGAGCATGGTGTTGTATTAATTTGCGTAGCTTTTGGGGGCCGTTGGGGCCATGGGGAAGCCCGTTGGACCCGTCGGGTCATCGTGGAGATAGTTTGGGACGTTTTGAGGCCGTCTTAGGGACTCTCGGGGTATCTTGGAATGCTGGGCTAGGATAGCAAAATGTTGCAACCCACAAACTGTCTCGAGGTTTGGTGGAGGCCATCGTGGGCCAACGTGGTGGTAAGACAAACCATACTTGTTGCATCGGCCTGAACCATCTTCGGGACGTCGGAACCCATCGGGGACCCCCCCAACACATGGACGGGAAAGGCCGCACACCATCACGAGTCACAACCCAAGGTGCCAATGGCCATTTGGAATGCAATTAGAGAGGAGGACGGTTTCTACCGCCTGGCCAGTCCAAGCATACCCGTCGTTTGGGAAACAAGACTACGCGGATTGTGCATGTAACATCATAGCGAATGTGTGTGTGTTCGTGTGTCGCATTTTGTTCACATTCAAAACATCGCACACGCACACACCGATGTGCACGGAAGACGTGTTTGATTCCCAGCACGGAGTGGTACATGTTTTAGGATGCGCACATGTGTCTCAACAGTTTGTGTGTAAGTGTTGTATGTATTTCTAGCGGCAGGTGAGGGAGCTCGGGACACCGAAATCGCTTGCTATCCATCGTGCCCCGTTTCGTTGTCCCCAACATCCTGACTCCAATCGTGGCCCCACATCGTGCCCCCCTCCGCGTAAGTGTGTCAAGTCACAAAGGTTTCACTGTCTGCACTCGCACGCACATGTGAGATTACCGCAGTGCATCCCACACACCCAGCGAGGTATACATTATATTGAATGCAATATGCGTGCTGGTGCACTGTGTACACGAAACCTAATGTTCGCATACACAGCACGACACCCGATACATCGTACACACAGGGTGCACCATGGAGTGTGTGTTGCATGTGCATACTCGCACATCCAATGTTCGCAGGGGCGCCTGGGACTATTGCGCCCTAACCTTCCAGCTCGAAGGGGCATCATATGTTACCAGATTTGGCCTCCGAAGCCTAACCCCCACGGGGCATCAGCCCTGGCAGCGTTTGCAGCCAGTCTTGAAGACATCGACCAGGGGGGTCCTCGGTATCGGCGGCACCGCGCCCACACGTAGATACCATGTTCTCTGCTTCACATTCCTCTTACTTGCCGCCATCACATCCTGGACCCAGATAAGGCCAACACATCTTCTCCATTATCCCCACTGGCCTTCTCCACCTGTCTTCCCACGTCTCCTTCCCCTCTCCCGCGTGTCGCACGCGCGCGCCGTCCCGCACCGGCCGATTCTTTGCATGCTCTGCCACTGCGACCCCCTTTTCCACCGTCCTGTCGCCCGCTCTCGGCGAGGCGCAGCCGCTGGGACGCCTCCCGAGGCGGGCAGGCCGCCAGAAACCGACGACGACGCCCTACAGTCGGGGCGTTGACCTAAGGAACCCTAAATAAGGAACGAGGCCCCTTTTTTTCCATAAGTTAACCTTCGATATCCTGTCGAAATCCTAAGGAAAGCCTGAGGCAAGCTGTGAAACACTTAAGGAACGCGGAGCCCCTCCCCAACGAAAAGTGTTCCTTCTTCAGGGCCCCGGCTGTAAAACCTCGGACCTCGAGCCTTGTCCTTCTCACTTGCCCCCCCCCCGATGTCCCACATACGGCGAGGGCAGGAAGCGTTCGGCAGAGACGCGTTCCTCCACGCCAATCAGAAGAGGCCAGCAGGGGCAGGGCCGACGGTGCGTGGAGCACCGCGCTGCACGATGCGGGGCGAAGAGAGAGCATGCAGGCGGAAACAACACTGCATGATGTGTGTGTGTGTTCTGCTACGGCCGGGCCGAGGTGGGAGACCGAAGTCGGTTTGGGGAGGGTTCCCTGAGGCTCTTCGTGCTTGGTGGTTCTTGTGCATCCTCGGGGAGGGTACCCTCGGATGTTCTTCAGTTTGGCGGGTGGAGGGTAATATGTTCATGAAAGTTGTTTTTGTGTTCTAGGTGCGGCCGTATTTGTGTGTTCTGCGTCATGGTGTCTCCGCTGCTCATTGAGATATCATGACACAGCGCGTTGAGTGACAGTCTTGTTGGACTCATGGCAGAAGCTTGCGGAGATCGATTCCATAGGCGGCAGGGGTCGAGGCTGGAACGCAAAGCCCACGTGCAGAGCAATTGCACGCGAAAGTTTGGAGGTGGAAGAGGTATCCATACCGCTGTCCCTGCCTCTTTTTCGCCTTTTTGGGCCTCCTGGGGGGCCCTCATCGCCACCGCTGGATTTGCCTTTAAATTCTTGTCAGAACGCACCCCGGGATAGGTCCGGGTAATTGCGGTATCGGTGCCTGCTGGTTTCCCCAAACGTGTTCGGAGGCATGTGCGATCTCTTCCACGGTGGTATTCCGCTCTACGCTCTCCCACACACACAATCAGATGTACGTGTGCAGCCTTGGCCAAAAGCGAGTGGTAGTTGAGATCAGCTTTCGTTGCTGGACGCTTCCACGTTTCACGAAAAAGATCGGGAGGGATTTCCTTACTGGCGACCGGGTGAACTTCCAGATCGACACAGACGCCAAGGGATTCCCGAAGGCCCGTGATCTGACGGAGGCCGGTCTCCTGAGCTTGGGGGGAGTGCCGAGGCGAATCCTCCTTATCCTCCTCGTGTTTCCATTCTCGCCCCACTCGTCTGCCTGCCGTCGCCATTTTGGTTCAAGACGGAGCTTACCTTCCGTCCCGACTCCAGAGGCTCGATGCCGAGGTGGAAGGGCAGCCTCTTCCTAAGCCTTGCTGCCTCGGCCAGCATCCAGTGAGCTCCTGGGGGAGCAGAGAAATTCGCTCCTGGTTGGGGCAGTCTCTCAGTCCTCGGCATTGCACGGGCGGCACGGGCGGCAATGGAAGAGGGAGTGAGCAGTCTGGGAACCAGAAGCAGTACGCTCATTGTCGGGCGTGCGGGCACAAGCGGAACTGGAAGAAGAACACCTCGTGCCACAGTTGCTCGAGGCCCCTGCAGCCCGCCAGGCCTCGAGAGCGCCAGCCGAGCGGCGCATGGGGCCCAGGCGGGGCCAGCGAGTGCAACCATAGCCGCCCGCGAAGAGGCAACGGGGGCCGGGGGAGGTCCGCCGTCGCAGGAGGAGCTGCGGCAGCTGCGTGCCACCCTCCCTGCGGACGCCGGCCGCGCCACGCCCGAGCACGTCGACCAGCTGGCGATCGCCCTGGCGCCGCCCCCGCACCCCGAGCACCCCGACGCGGCGTTCAACCAGGCGCGGGCCAGGGCGAGGCGCGCCGAAGCCACCCTCGAGCGCCCCATGCAGGCTGTTACGGATGCGGAGGACGGGCTGGGGCGCAAGCGGTTCGAGAGGGAGTAAGCCATCCTCGAGGTCGCGGAGGCAGACAGTGAGCCTGAGGAGGCCTACGCCAAGGCGGCGCCAGCGGGCCAGGCTGCGCAGCGGCGGCGGCAGCCGAGACCAAGTCAGCGGCTGCGCAGGGCGCGGCCGTCGACCTCTCCAGGCTGCTCTCCGAGGAGGTGGCGGCCATGGAGGTCCAGCCTGGGGGGACGTTCGACCTCGAGGGGTTCGACATCGTGGCCGAAGAAGAGGAGTATTTCCAGCATGTCCCTAACTTCGCCGGCCAGCTGCTGACGGAGGTCCAGAAGCACTTCGAGCCCGCCGCCGAGTCCATCAAGAGTACGCGAAAGGACTCCAGGAAGATGCACAACCGCCTTGAGACCAAGCGCCCCCGCTACGCCGCGCCCGACGACCTCGGCGCCCAGGCCGCGGCGGCTAAGGCAGCAGGGAAAGGGAGAGGGGCAGCGGCAGCTCCAACCCAGGTCAGGGGGCGCACCCCCCCACCCCACCCCACTTGGGCCCCTTGGCTTGGCCCCCGATGGCGACGGCGGCCGCCCCGGGCAAGGCCCACCCTGTACGGGGGCAGTCAGGGCCAGGACCTTGCAGCGGGTGGCAGGGAGCCCAGAGGACTTCAAGGAGCCGCTCTCCCCGGATTCCCAGAACTCAGTGGCCTCCAGCTCCTCCTTGGCACGGCATGGCACTCGACGTGAAACGGCTTCTGGTATTAAGTCGGGCGTGTCCCGATACAGGAGAAAGATTCAAAGATAGTCAGAACATAGTCTGGTGACGATGTTTCTACTGTGTTTACCTATTTTGAAAAATGTCTGATTTGCTTGTGAAAACATGATGTTCACCCAGAGTCCGCCTGTAGGAGGACATGCCCGGCCTGAGTCTAGCACAGGGCTCGTTTTGCGCTGGCCGTACGAGATCTGCCCAGAAGGCCGCAGCACGTGGCAGCTCGTCTCCGTCGTCCCCAGAGGGCCTCGACGCCCCGGCCAGAGCGGGGACAGGCCAGCTTCGAAGCCTCGGCATCCGGGCGAGCTGCGCACGAGGCTCCCGAGCGCGCGGGCCCCCCCCCCCCCCCCCCGGGGGGCCTCCGTTTCACGTCGGACTCGCCCCCCAACCTCCGAACCTGAACACCACGTCGCACGGCGCGCTCGTGCGGCAGCCGTCGACGGTGGGCGCCGCGGCTGCCCTCCGCGTGCCCGTTTCGGGCCGGACGAAAGGGGGGGATTGGGAAAGGGGGGGGGGACGAAATTTGCTGCATGCAGCCGGTTTCGGCCCCGCCGAAAATCAGCTGCGTGAGCCGATTCTCAAACCCCCCCTTGGCTGCCCCCCCTTATCGCCCGACCCGACCGTTCGCGCCGCGTGCAGCAGCGAGCGTCGGGCCCCCGAGCTCCTCGGCCGGCGGCAGCGCGCAGGCGCGAGGGCAGAGCCTGCGAGCCCGAGCCCGAGGGCGCCCCGGGCCGAGCGCGGCCCCGCTGGTCCTCCGGCCCGCCACGGTTCAGAAGGGAACAGATCACACAGACACAATTCATCGTCGATTCCCAGGAAAACATGGGAAGATCTGGGAAGTGGGGGGGAAGACGAAAACCCAGAACATATTGGAAGATATGGGGAATCATTTTATTTGTGTGTGTGTTCATTTGTGTGTCCCAGGGCCCCTTCCACGGTCAGCGACCCGTGCCGAGCAGAGCCCGGGGCTGGCACACGGCCAGGCCCGCGAGGCGCTGGGCGTGGCCCCCCCTTGGCATCGCTCGGACGTGTGCATGTTATTCTCGGCGAGAACCAGCGAGGACCATCCTGGGCCATCGAGCCCAAAAGACACGCACGAAACCGACAGATGCACGGGAAGTGGACCTCCGAGCGACGGCAAGCCCGCCCACGCCTTGGTGCGATCAAAATGTGTACAAAGCCGACAGAGCACATGTTGCCACAAGCCGACAGCGGCCGTTGTTGGGCAGGCGGCTGCTTGTCACGAATGGACAATGCACGCGGCGACTCCGATAGCGAGCCCTGCTCAGAGTGGACAGGATGTACTGTCGGTTTTCGTCTTCATTTTTTCCGTTCGATCGTTCCAGGACGCTCTCAGAGCGTCCCAGAGCGCTTTGGAGCGCTCGCGGCGCCCGATACATCCTCCGCCGCCGCATCTTCATCCTCATCCTCATCCTCTCTCTCTCGCTCATTCCCTCCTTCTCCTTCCCCGGTCTCTGACTGGGGGGGAGGGGGAGGGAGCGTCGGGGGCGACGCCAGGGGCGCATCGACCCCCAAGAATCGCCCACGGATCGCCGCGCGCTTGGCATCGCTCGGACGTGTGCATTTTCTTTCGGCGAGGACCATCGAGGGGCATCCTTGATCATTTGGCGAGAAACCACGCACGAAACCAAAAAAGCACACGGAGTGGACGTCTGAGCGATGGCCAGCGCGGGGTGGGGCCCGACAGCCCGATCTCCCCCGCAAGGCGAGGGACCACGCGGGCTCGCCGTCGGGGGCCGTCCGCCGACCTGGAGACGGCGTGTCGGCTGCGCCCGGTCGACGTTCCCCCCCCCCCGCCCCTGAACTGAGCTGGTCCCCACCCTGCCGTTCCAGGCTTCCTCCTCGTCCTCCATCTCTCTCTATGCCTCCCCTCCTCCTCCTCCTCCTCCTCCTCCTCCTCCTCCTCTTCCTCTTCCTCTTCCTCTTTCCTCTCCTCTCCTCCTCCTCCTCCTCCTCCTCCTCCTCCTCCTCATCCTCCTCTTCTTCTATATATATATAAATATAAATTTATATATATGTATATATCCTCCATCCCTCCCTCCCTGCCTCCTGTCCTTCTCCTCCTCCTCCTCCTCCTCCTAACGTTGCTGGGCTCCTCTCTCCATCCCACAGGGTGCCAAGCTCAGGTCAACAGAGGATTCCCAGCGTCGACGTATCCACACAGAGGACGGAATTTAAATTCAAGTCCTACCGCACGGTTGGGTAACGAAGTTGTCGTTGCAGGATCCGGTTCGCTACGAAATCGAACACCGAATTGTTAAGATGGAGTAAGTTAGAACCACCGTCGCGGGAACAGTTGGATGGGGGGCGGAGTCATGGACGCCGAGAGCAGAATAATTACGCAGATCGTGTTCAATCCACGATGCCATGCGCCGAAAGATTGTGAGTAGCGGGCGACGAACAAACGGGAATAATTGGGTGGAGTGGGTGCAGAGAGCGACCCAGCACACGCGACGGCTAGCGCTTAATGTTGGCGTGAAGGATTTAGTAAAACGCTGTTGAGAATTGGAGATGGGTTGGACCTGAGACATCCGAACGGGCGATCCTGGTAATTGGATGGAGGGAGCTCATCGTGGCAAGCAGCGGCGAAGGATGTTTCAGGCCAGCCAGGCTGTTTCGGAGGCCATGGGTGAAGTTTGGACACGTTCCCGAACATTGTGCGAGCATGCCAGACAGGAGAGGGGGAGGCAGAAAGCGCTAGACATAGAGGAATGGCGAGCATCATTTCGTGGGCTAGCGCGCCGTAATTCAGCATCCTGCGCGCACTGTAGCACGCTGTCTTTCCCGCGCGGTCCTTTTCAGTCAGGACTTCACTGTTTCTCCTCCCTCCTCCTCCTCGTCCTCCTCCTCTTCCTCATTCTCCTCCTCCTCCTCCAAGGCCTCCTCCTCCTCTTCCTCATCCTCCTCCTCCTCCAAGGCCTCCTCCTCCTCCTCCTCCTCCTCCTCCTCCTCCTCCTCCTCCTCCTCCTCTCTCTCCTCCCTCCCTTGCTCTCCGTCCCTCTCTCGTTCCTCGCCCCCTGAATGGTTGCGTGAGCCGCCGCCCAATCCATAGGCCACGGGCTACGGCGGCGAGGTCGGGACTGGGATGCATCCTGGGGGCATCGAGCACGCGGGGTGGTGGGTGGGACAGAGGAGGTGGCATGTGATGTGTTTAGAGGAAGCGTTGGGGAGTACGGTGAAGAGAGGCACGATTAGCAGAGTCCAGGGCCAGTAGGCAGCACGCTTACGGAGCGGAGGCTTTGAAACTCAGAGATATCGAGTCAGGCGCGACCCCATTTGCTGATATATCAAAAAACAGCTTGCCAAAACATCTGCGAAGTCACGCTAGAACGCGTGCCGGTGTTATGTTCAGCAGACCACAGCGTAGCGTATCACAGCATCGCGTAACATGCCAACGCGCATCGTAGCGTACAGGAGCATGTTGTTAAATATCCAGCGGACTGTGACAAGTTCGCCACCGTGCCAGCGCAGCACCCTGTGTGGCAACGTTCGCGCAACGCCGTGAAGGCCG